TCTTTTAATATAAACAAGGGAAAATGTAATTCCAAGAAGGTTTTTAAATCATAGACTAGTACAGCCGCACTGTCACCAAAAAAAAAAAAAAAAAAAAAAATGAAGAATGCAAATAAGCTAAGAAGGTACTTTTCCCTAAAAATAACCTTTCCCGTGGATAGTATAAACTCTGTATCTGATACTGGTTTATATTTATGTATTTACTTTGTAGGTGGCATGAAGGAGGAATAGCCTCAAAGAGAAACAGAGAGACCTGACCGTTTAAACATTTAAAAAAAAAAAAATCACCAAGTTGATCTGCTTTTTGTTTTTTCTCAAATACTACACTCTGAAATCACTTGGAGTTTCATGGGGTTGGTCTTTTTCCCTCAGAGGTCTCCCCAGGTAGCAGTCGTTCCACCCCTTGTTCACGTATTTACTACATGTCCCTCCCCACGGAGGAGACATGACGGGTCTTCCCATTACCGAAGGCTGGTTTTGCGCCAGGTGCAATCTTTCTGACTGCTCTGGGGACAGTCCAACCTCTTCCATCTCGGGGCAGCAGTGTGAGTTCCAAAAGTGGCACGTGCTCCCCAAAAGCACGTCGCAGTTGGTGGCAGGACTAGAACTTGAACCAGGTCTGCGCGTGCCACCTAGGTGTTGTCACAGTGCCTGTCACCTGACAGCCAGCCCCGAAAGGTCACACTCAGAAACAGCTCCCGGTCAGCTCCCACCCTAACTCGGGAGCTGAGATCACAACTCTCTGTCCAACTTGCTGTCCCTCAGTGTCAGGAAAAAACAGCTATTCTGCTTTCAGGAACTTCCAAACCCTGCTCCCCTACAGTGCACAGGAGAACCGTATTTCATTTTTCTTTCTTATAAATAAAATGAGATCTCTCTCTCTATATATATATATATTTTTTTTTTTTTGGAGAAGTTTTTGCTATAGGGTGCGTGCGCTCACCAGACAGACAGAGAGAGACAGAAAGCGAGAAATCACCCCCCAGGGGGGATGGCCACGCCACAATCCCTTCTCCTCCATTCTCCTCTCGGGATCTTGGGCACGCACGCACACACGCCCAGCGTGAGTTTTAAGCCACCAGGTCCAGGACTCGAACCCCGGTCAACTATGTGGGAGTCCAGCGACATAGCCATTACGATCACTGCTGGTCCCAGTGACCACCATTTTTAAATGGATTTAAAGTTCGCGTTTCCCTTGCCCTTTGCAGCCAGCTTGTCCCCACCTGTATCTGACCTACTTAAACAGTGAGTCCTCACTAGGTTAATGGAGTCTACTGAGAAATGGCCCATGTGTTTGCCTTCTTCTTAGGAACCATAGACAACGAATATAAAACTGACCCTGAAGGTTATGGCAAGAGCGATGGTGGTGGGGCCGTAGATCTCCCCGGGAGAGCAGCTGAAACCACAGCCCAAGATAAGGAGTCCGGCGAGGCCAGCGATGGGAACGCCCCGCTCACCCTGGCATGCACGGTGGAGGCGAAGGGGGAGAAGGCTGGGTTTCCGGGTGAGTGACGGCACAGGAGTGTGCTCTCCTGTCAGCTGGGGAGGCTCCAGGTGGAGGGGCCGTTTCCAGAAGACGGGCTTCTGCTCCCTTCTGCTCCTCTGGAGGTGGTGACAGCCACATCCATCTGCATGTACGCGCCCTTCTGAGTCCCACATGCCTTGGAAAAGTGTGTGTTGGGCCATTGGAGCTACACTGGGATTTCCATTTCCCACTGTTTGGTTTGTTTATTTTTAAAGAATTATTTATTTATTTATTTCCATTTGTTATTATTATTATTTAAATTTGATCAAAGACAGAGAAGAGGAAAGTGAGAAAGCAAGCTGCCAGGTCCAGGACTCGAACCATGGTCGGCTGTGTGGGAATCCAGCACCTTTAACCACCGCACCACCTGCTGGCCCTCCATTCCCCACTGTTATCTTTGACTCTCAACATAGAAATCGACATGTACACTCTCCAGCCTAAGCCTGCAGTGCTGGGGTACCCTACACGGTGTTCTGCTTCTTTCTAACACAGACACTAGAAAATGGCTTCCGTCCCCTCCCTCTACACTCTCACTGAACCGTCCCCCTGAGGTCGAGCGTTGCCTGGAAACAGGGACTTTTCTTTTTTTCTGTTGCCCTCTTTGAAGTAGGAGGGCGAGGAGGGAGTATGCTTTCGGGTTGGCTTTCACCAGCACTCACAGTGGTCAGCCTGGGTCGTCCTCGGAGATGCTTTTGTAAGGGAAGAGTGAATGCCTCGAGGTGCTGGCCACACACAGTCTCTGTTGCAGTTCTTCAGGAGTGTGCAGACCATGCTTAGCCAGAGAGTCGCTGCAAACGGCCTGCGTAGGGTTGGCCCAGCCGCCCTACTGTGCCACTGCCTCACCTCCGAGAAGCAAGACACAAAAACCTACAAAGCAGGGACACGTGTTTTGGTGTGTTGCCCAGCAAGGTGGTCGTTAAAGATGCCAAACATTGCTTTTTTTTTAGATTTTTACCATAGGACACATGTGCTCACTGGAGAAAAGCAGAGAGGGAAAGCGAGAACTCAGCCCTCAGGGAGATGGCCATGCCACAGTCCCTTCTCCATTCTCCTCTTGGGATTTTGGGCACGCAGGTACACACATGCACCCAGCATGATTTTCAAGCCACCAGGTCCAGGTTTCGACCCACAGTTAGCCATGTGAGACTCCAGCCCCTTAACCACGTGCTACCTGCCGGCCTCCCAAGAATTCTAATTTTAATTAACCAAGAAATCGGTTATTTAGAATTATGGCAAACATAGTGAGCATGTGTAGAGATGAACTGTTCCCCTTCCCACAGGTACGGGGCCCTCCGAGATGGCACAGGCCACAGGGCACCACTGGGCAGGTGCTGAAAGCATTGGGCCTGCTCCCGAGCTCACCCGAGCACGCCGGGCACGGATGGATTCTGGCTGGCTGGAGGGCTGGGGGACCATGGTTTTGCGAGGCCCTGTCGGGGCTGTCTTCCTCACTTCCTCCTTCTGTCCCTCTCCTTCTCTCTCATGAAGGAAGTAAATAAATAAATAAAAAGGTGGGTCAGGCTGTGGCCTGGTGGCTAAGGCAACTGGATCCCACATGGCTGGCTGCAATAGTCGAGTCCCAGACGCAGCAGTTTGAGAAGCACCCTGGGCCTGTGTACGAGGGAGCCCGGAATCCTGAGAGGAGCGCGAGATGGAGAAGGGATTGCAGCATGGCCGTGCCCCACAGAGGATGCTGTCGTGCTCGCTCACTCTCTGTCTGACTCTCTCTCCAGAAAGTGCATGTGCTAGCTAGCAAAATTAAAAAGAAAAAAGACCATGGCTGGCCCCATGTTAAGCACCATGCAGAGGAAGCCAGATCCCCCATGGCCAACCAGGGTTTGAGTCCCACCCCAGAGTCTGTGTGCCCAGAACCCTGATGGGGTGAACGGGGGGAGGACTATGGCATGACCAGGCCCCTTTGGGGTTCTCTCTTGCTCCCTTCCATCTCTGCCCTCTCTTGAGCAAGCACCGTCTGCTATAATAAGAAAAAATAACTTTTTAAAGACATTGTTTCGTTAAAATAACAGGCATTTCTCGCAAGCCATAGGCAGGCACTTTAAGATCAGTCTCCGACTGTTTGTCAGTGAGCCACTTGCAGTTTCCCCAGTGAACCCGAACTACACTCTCAGCCTGTGGAGCTCTCAGAGCCCTGATGCCAGTGGGTCGGCGCCTCGCACTGTCAGACCCGCGGGGCCAGTTGGGAGACTGAGCGGCAACCCTGTCCTTGCCTTGCAGATAACCTCTTTCTCGAGAAGGCCATGCAGCTGGCGAAGCGGCACGCCAATGCCCTTTTCGACTACGCGGTGACCGGCGACGTGAAGACGCTGCTGGCCGTGCAGCGCCACCTCACGGCAGTGCAGGATGAGAACGGGGACAGGTGAGCGGCCGTGCCAGGACGAAGGCTGTCCTGGGGAGGGAAGCGAGGAGGGCACGGTGCAGGGCCTGCAAGCTAGAGTCAGAACCACAGACACCGTCGCTTCCTGTAGCTGGACACGCCGTGGAGGCACGTACCGCGTCGGAGAGCTCGGGCAGCTGGGCTGGGCCCTCCTGTTGGACTCCGGCTGCCAGCTGCTGGACTTCAGCTAGAATCCTCCCTGGAGAAAAGCTGTTCCACGTGCAGGAAATGCGTTTTCTGGAAGGCCCTGCCCTCTGTCCTATTCAGGGACTCGGTGAGACGGGTCAGACCCTGCAGCACTGTCGCCCTAACAGCACGTTCCACTGAGCGCACGCTCGACTGCCAGCCCTGTCTGGGCAGCAGCAGTAACAGAATGATTCAAGGCTTTGTCACTCTTT